TAATAATATATATATATATATATTTTTTTAATTATCAAATAATACAATTTTTTTTAAAGAGCCTTGTCATATTTTTTATTATTTAAATAATCATATCTTTTCATTTAAAGCTAATCCGCGATATAGCGGGCTTGAGATTTAAAAAAAATCAGGTAAATAATTTTTTTTTATCTTAATTTAAAAAAATTCTACAATTGCAATTATCTATATTTAATTATAATTTATTCTTAATTATTGAGAATAAAAATTTCATGGTTAATTTTTATCAAAATTTATGTAATAATAAAAAAATATTAATTAATGTAAAAAATATTACACTTCGCTAAATGAAAAATAAATATTTAACAATGCATTTATTTAATAACTAATTATCATCTTATTTTTGTCCTTCGGCAGAAAAAAATTTTCCTCGAAGAACAAAATGATTATTAATTGAAATAAAAAATATTATTCTCTAAATAAATACAACTGATAAAATATTAATAGTATTTATCAAAAAAGAAGAATTAATTACTATCGCGCAAGTGTTGAAATATTTTGGGAATTAACCTGACCCAGTAACCTTAAAAACATATGATGGTATTTCTTAGAATAATAAATTAGATAAAAAAAAAGGGGACTGATAAATTCGAAAATTTGAGAAAATATTTTTGTTTATTTATTTAATTATGTACTTTATTGTTTATCGATAAATGATAAACAAAATTTATCTTTAGTAATTTTGTTGAGATAGATAATTTTAAGTCTGGAATAATTAAATTATCTTTCTGATTCGCGGAGCGATAAATAGACTTGAGATCATCAAATCTTATCAAAATGATTTAGTCGTAATTAGATTGTGTAATCTATTCAAAACTCAGGCAACTATTTGCTTATGAAATTATATTTGTTAGTCATTAATTATGATAGTATTTAAATTGAGTAGAATATTTAGTTCCTTCTAATGCGCGCTAATAAATTACTGAAATTATTCACCAATAATTGTAATTTAATGAAAGTACGCTCGTTTACAAGCTTGGTCATATTGTGGAACATAAAAGTCTTTCTTATCTTTCTGTAAATAATGATTAATAAGTAATACACGTTTACTATACTATTACTTTATTTATAAACTTCGTATTGTGCAATTTAATATTTTTTTTATTACAATTTTGGTTATTATTATTATTATCCAGATTATTATGAGAATAAGAAAAATTTGTGTCCAGGAGTCATATGATAAAATCGGTTTTTTTAGTAAAATTTAATGTCATTGCAGAGGTCTTGACTTTAATTTGTGCCTTTTCAAGGTTTGATATCATTCTCATCGATAGTCAATTTATGATAAGTATTTAGAATGCATTTGAAAATACTCTATCTCTAGATACATAATTAAGAAATGACCTTGTATCTTGTGAAATATTGACATTTTCAAAGATATAAGCTCATCCCGATGTTATACTCATTGAGACCTTTCATTTAAGTACCTACATCAATTTTTCATATATATATATATATATATATATATATATATTGAAAGTGGGTTTCGTAGACCGTCAATCACGCAAAAACTACTGAACGTATTGACATGGGACTGGGACCATTCGACGCGGAATGAATTGTAGATTGTTATAGGCTACTTACTTTTTGAATTCCATCAATCCTTGACCATTTTATTTCTATTTAACTTTGATAAACATTTTTTCCCGCCGATAAAAACAAAAGACGAGCATTTTTCTTCAATTCATTTGTTTTTTTATCGGCATGAAGGGTATTAGGTTTTTTTTTTCTTTTTTTGAGAATTTAGTTCCATGTACCAACGTGTGGGCGGATGCGTGGGTGGATGGGTGGGTGGATGCATAGGCGGATGCGTGGGTGGAAAATTTCACTTATTATTTCATTTAGGCATGAAGGGTATCACGTTTTTTTTTTTTTTTTTGAGAATTTAGTTCCATCTACCAACGCGTGGGTGGATGCGTGGGCGGATGCGTGGGTGGATGCTTGGGTGGACGCGTGGGCGGATGCGTGAGTGTAAAATAAATGAGCGAAATAGGGTTTCTTTGACTAAAGTTGACGTCAAAACCACTAAAGCTATCGGGATAGGACCGCTACCATTCGACGCAGAATTTTCCGTAGATGTTATGGGCTACTCATTTTCTTTACGATTTAATTTCACATACATTTTTTCCCGCTAAGAAAAACAAAAGACTCTCATTTTTTTATTCGTGATGTGATTGGTTGAAAATATTTATTCTCATTCTGATTGGTTGAAAGTTAATATAATATACATAAACGACACATAAATATATCATGACAATAAATATGAGGCGCGCGCTTGTGCGCGAAAATTAAATTCTAGTCCTAATATAAAATTGAGATGAAATGTATGTGAAACCAATTTATTCGTGATGTGATTGGTCGAAAAATAAATATTCTCATTCTGATTGGTTGAAAGTTAATATAATATACATAAACGACACATGAATATATCATGACAATAAATATGAGGCGCGCGCTTGTGCGCGAAAATTAAATTCTAGTCCTAATATAAAATTGAGATGAAATGTATGTGAAACCAATTTATTCGTGATGTGATTGGTCGAAAAATAAATATTCTCATTCTGATTGGTTGAAAGTTAATATAATATACATAAACGACACATGAATATATCATGACAATAAATATGAGGCGCGCGCTTGTGCGCGAAAATTAAATTCTAGTCCTAATATAAAATTGAGATGAAATGTATGTGAAACCAATTTATTCGTGATGTGATTGGTCGAAAAATAAATATTCTCATTCTGATTGGTTGAAAGTTAATATAATATACATAAACGACACATGAATATATCATGACAATAAATATGAGGCGCGCGCTTGTGCGCGAAAATTAAATTCTAGTCCTAATATAAAATTGAGATGAAATGTATGTGAAACCAATTTATTCGTGATGTGATTGGTCGAAAAATAAATATTCTCATTCTGATTGGTTGAAAGTTAATATAATATACATAAACGACACATAAATACATCATGACAATAAATATGAGGCGTGCGCTTGCGCGCGAAAATTAAATTCTAGTCCTAATATAAAATTGAGATGAAATGTATGTGGCATCAAACTATTCGTAACGTGATTGGTTGAATATATCATAAGCATGAAAATATATGCAAACTCTATAGTCAAAGCGCGCGCTTGCGCGCGTAAATTCAAATTCTAGTATACCAAAATGCATGTGGGTACTCAAATGAAAGCTCTTGATGAGTGTAACATTGGGATGAGCTTATATCTTTAAAAACGTCCTTGGTTAAAAAAGTACAGTGCAATTTAACAAAATTCATTATTTAATAAAGCAAAATTTCATTTACTCAAAGTTCACAAGTCACAGCAGTCACATAGTGATCGCTAGTTATTATTATTTCATTATGGCTAAAAACATCAAAAATTTCCATAAATAATAATAATTTTTTAATTCATAAAAAAGCTTTACAAATTTTTTAAAAATTATTTCTAATGTGAAGAAATAAAAAAAATTGTAAAATTACAGTTTTCTTCTAATAAGAAGAAATATATATAAAAAACGTAAAAAATGATAATTTTAAAAAAACATTTAATAATTATAATCATAAAATTTATTTTAAAATAAAATCTCAAGTATTTATTTTAACAGTTTTTTAATCTCTTCTTTTACAATTAAATTGTTAAATTTTTTTGTATAGATTTTATTTTTTCTTAACAATTAAAGCAATTATTTATTTTAATATTTATAAATCTAAATTAACCTCAAACTTCATTGAAATCGCCTTGAGAAGAAATAATCAAATAAACCAATTTTAATTGAAGTCATATTATGAATTAAAAGTGTATAAATATTGGCGAACTCCACAAATCTTTAAAAAATTCCTCGAAAGATATACAACGATAAATAATGAATTAACATACGATATTATGTTGACTATTAAACGGTAAATGTTTGCTCTTACAAATACAACGTCGTCATTTCTGATTGGAAGTTCACTTCCCCAATCTAGCGGCAAGATTGCGGGAGTATTTAACTACGCGCTTTGCCATCGGGAATCATCAGTCGAACAGAGTTGACAGCCACAACAAGTTCACAATTTATAAGAAGAAAATAATAGTATAATTACAACTAACTGCGAAATGAAGAAGATGATGATTTCTTTCGCCTTGATGGCTTTTGTTGCAATTGGTGAGTATTAATTAATTATTACAATTATTTTTAACTTCCCGCTAAGAAAATTGAAAAATTTTTTTTTATTTATTAATTATTAATTTATTTATTTTTTTATAATAGCTGCAACAGAAAATCATTACGTTATGGATCCTGATGGCACAGAATACCTTGTAGTTGACAAAGAACCGGAGCATTGCGAACCTGGAAAGAAATACATGGTAGACTGTAATAAGTGCTCGTGTTCATCTAATGGAAAAGATTTAGCTTGTACAAGAAGGAAGTGTCCTCCTCATCCAGTACAGCAAAACGTTCAGTGGGGACGTAAGTAATTTTTTAATTTGAATCAATAAATAAATTTCTTCAAAAAAATTATTTTTACATAATGGCTTTTTTTATGTTTTTAAATTTCTACATCTCAATTGTTTTTTTTACAATTTATTTATTATAAAACTAGCGACCTTGCAGTCACTATGTGACTGCCGTGATTTGTGAGCTATGAATAAATGAAATTTTACTTTATTAAATAATGACTTTTGTTAAATTGTACTGTACTTTTTTAATTATTGACATTTTTAAAGATATAAGCTCATCCCGAT